GAATCGCATGTCCATTGTGAATGACTGCAACACCATTTCAGATCCGTAGGCTCACGGCTAACCATGGGTGCAGAGCGGGGTCGCTTGAAGCAGACGTTTAGTAAACGTCCAAATTGTCGCATTCCTGAATCATGCGTTGCGACGATTGCCGCTAATCATGGATTTGTAGGTTGTCAAGCGAATGCAGGACGCAGCTGGCCGAGAAACAGGACGCCTTTTGCCACTGTCTGCAGCACCATTTCCAGAACAAGCTGTTAAACGACTTCCAGAAGTGCACCGGAGCCAACGAAGTGACCCTGGTAACTCCGGTGATGTGCGAAATCTTGTCCGACGAGGCGGCATGCCGAAAAAGCTTCCTTGAAACAAAATTGAACATATTTGACTTTGAGTCCGATCCGAACATCGGCCTGACGAAACGTCGAAGGAGAAATGCGACAGTAAAGAAAAATCATGACGCGATTAAGATTCGTTTTCATCACAAAAATTAATTGCGATTCGTTGACGGTACATCCATTTCCACGCTGTTATTTCTGCTGTCGTTTTGTTGAACTCTATCTAAAGCCCGTGCTATAATCGAAAAATAAAATGCCTTTATGTCTGTGTGCGGACATCCCAACACAAACATGCTGTTTCTTTCGATTATTATCATTGACCATTTGCATTATCAGAATGTTTGCGGTTCGCGATGGCCAGTGCGTTCTCAACTGCAGCATGACTTCTGTTGTAAGAGACTGGCTGCTGCAATGAAAGACAGTCCTGAGTGTTGCTAAGTTTACATCGATCTGGTACACCCCTGTACAGGTTGGCCTCCTGGTCGATGTTTACTGTTTCTTGGTTCCCACTAGCGAAGTTTCCGGTCGAAAGTGCAGTACTTATAGCTAACCGTCATATTTCCATTACCTGATGTCTGTGTAGTGGAAGTTTACCGATCGTTAATGCAAGTTTCTGCGAGACGATGCGATTATGTTTCATTTTTATGCGGTCCTGCCATTTGAACCGTTATGCATCGAAGCCAGGGCTGTTGTATACCGTTCGAGCCGTGTTCTTGTTGCTCAGTTAGAACGATACTTTCCATCTCTCAAGATGACACAGAATCTGCTTACCGTTGTATTCAGTGGATAAAGCAGCGTCCTCGCGGTGTCTGCACTACTGCAGTTTTTATACCGTATGAGTTGGTACTCATGTTTTGAAAACCAGTATGAGACGCAATGCATTTAAGGCTTTTAACCATGGCAGGTTTGGAGTTTGATAAAATTATATTTACAAAGCCTTGATAGTGAGCTGGTTTATGACAAGATTCACCTTGTTGAACCCTCGATTGTCATAACCAGCCCTGTCAGTGGATTGAAAGTTTCAACGTGGCTTTTCGATGGACTGAGTCAGTGGCGGTTACAATTCAACATGAAACATACCGTACGCTGTGTGAATAACTTGGAAAGTCACCCAACACTTTGTGCATGCTACTGAGTGACATCCGGTATTGCCTGACACAAAACAGGACTTCAGTCTCTCTGGACACTGCCTCCACTTGCCTACCTGAACGCCCCTAATTCTGTAGAATGGTAGAGAATGTATTGCTGTACAGAACACTGCACGTTCAGTGCATTTGGTGTTGTGCTGAGCGGAGAAGCAGTAGTAGCAAAAACCGAAGTATGGACAGCAGTCATTGAGGGCGTTCGACTCAGCAAAGGCAAGTCAGAATATATTACGAACTAGTTTAGTGAAAAGAACAGATTGAACATGAACAAATCAGTGAAAGTAGCGGGGGACATGCTAGCTCAAACCCAGGAATTGAAGTATCTTGGTTTCATTCTTTCAGACAACAGGGAAATCACAACGAATTAAGAAATCGGCCGAGGAAAGCGATGCTCAAAGGAAGAGATATTAAAGGTGTACTGTGCAATGAGAACATGCTAATCAAACTAAAGGGGATGATGTACATGACAGAAAGACTGGCGCGTCGGTGCGAAGTGGAATATTCGGCTACTCTGAAAAACTAAAACGACAACTGAACGCAGAAGAAATGCGAATGCTCGGATGGATGTAGTATCAGCGGAAAAAAACCAGATCCGGAGTATCTTCATAAGAGGATCTTTACCTGTAGCATCATCTATAGGAAGATGATCGAAATCAGATATCGTGTTCTCCAATTTGAAAAGAATGTCCAAGGAGTGCGCTGGAGATGTGGTCTAAGCACTGATACTGTCAGGAAGGGGGGGGGTAACGACGGGAAAGATTATAGAAAAGGTGGCGTCATGTTATTAAGAATGATATGCGAGGAGTGACCGAAGATTAGGCCAAAGATTAGAAAATGCGGAGGCAGGTGACTCGAACAACGCATCCCTGTTAAATGGAATACGCTAGTAAAAAGAGGACGACTGCAATGACAAATGTCAGATAACATTTTCCGTTCATAGGAACGAACAAGTCGATGCGAAGCATTAGCGACACCATTCAGCGGAGATTCTGCACTAACCATTCAAACAATGCGAAAGACGTTAGTTTTCTTTTCAGTTCATGATTTCATCCATCAGGGATGTTCTGAATCATGCATCCTTCATGTTCATCAGTCGTTAACTATGGCAACCGGACATAAACCCCTAAAAGCCAGAAAAAGAAAAGCGCTTAATTTAAACTAAAGTTTTTCATTGTTTATTTATTCATTTACCACAAGAAATGCTAGTAGAAATTGTTAAATGATCCGTACAAAAGTTTAAGTTTCTAATTTCAAAGAAAGAAGTCACAAGTACAAATCTCTACAGTTCGTCATTTTATATTTACTCCAAACTATATTTATCTTTAATAAATTATTACTTTAGATCAAAAGGAAAGGTTGTATGCTCCCCCACGTAAATAATCCATAGCATTGCCACCACGGTAGCTGCGAACGATGGTAAGAATCCGGGCATTTGAATCAGCATACTTCTTTCATGGAGTTTGTGGTGAATGACCGGCCAGAATTTGAGTGCAGTGAACCTGTTGTAATGCTTATTCTCTCTGAAGAAATACAATAAATTTCCAA